TTATATTATAAAAACAAAAAGAAAGTCCCTACCTTCAAAGAACCTACATTCTATTGGGAAAAGGAAATACATTAAATGGGAGCTGAAAAGAAAGGGTAGAAGGAAAGGGAAGACATCATTTGTGGGGACATGGTGCGAAAGGCCAAAAATTCATGAGTAGAGGTGTGAGATGAATGAAGAAGTGAGCATGGCTGCAAAAGGTGCTTCCTCAAAATTGGGGAAATCACCAGTCTAAGGTCAGAGTCAAAATAGTGAAGGGATGTTCCACGATAACTTGACCATAGAGTGGCTATATGGAATGATTTACAGTGAGGAGTCAGGATGACAGGAATGTGAGTCTGAGTAACTATAAACTTCCACAAAATGGAGGATCCTTAGGAAATTCACAGAAGAAAAGGTCACCAGGTAGTTGTGATCCTAAAGTCTTCAGCATCCAATGGCAAAGCTGAGGGTCATGCATTTTATTTAATATCATTTACACTAATAAAAAATTTATCAGTTTCTGGTATTTAACTATTTGACAATGATAAGGACTTTGATGGCAAAAGTATTTCTTTCTGGTTCTTCATTAGCTGTAATGAACCCACTACAAATGGAGTTTTCTAGTTACACCATGGGGCCAGGTTATTTGGCTGTTACCATCCAGGTCTCAGAAGAGGTGGTAATGGAAGTAATGTTGACGGTCTCACTCATCTGGCAATGCTGCTTCCTATCGCTCCCTCAGAGCACTTTGCTTCAGTATAACTTCCTAAGGAAGTATCTAAGCCCTGCTCTTGGTGACTTCAAGTGCCCTACTCCACCCACTATGCCACCTAACTGCACTAAAATATCCAAACAACTACAGGGTGAAACTCCTGATTCTTGAGACTTCTTTCTTTAATGCAATGTGTGGTCCAATCAAATTGGCTTTCTGGCTGTTTCTCATGGAATGTATTTCATTTTTTCCCCTCTGTACCACTGTAGAAGGTGTCTACCATGCTTGTTTGCCCCATGCTTCCTCTTCATTTTGAAATCAAGTCTTTTAAGCACCACCTCTCACATGAGACTTATCCCAATCTCCTCTCACCACCATCA